GCTTTTCAGATTCCCCAGGCTTTTGAATGTGAAAGGGTTGGGCAGCGGGAGCCACTTCTTTTCAGAGAAGTGGCATTAGCAGCACAGGGAGAGGCTGCCTGGAGTTTATTACCTATAGTAACACCCTATTCTTCCCCAAAGCCTTTCATCTGGAAAGCTGGCACCCACAGGTTACCCAAAACTAACCCCACACAAAAAGAGATGTGATGAGCAAATCAGGATGGCACAATTTGTTTCCAGTTTTGGGGCAATAAGGAAGGTTTTCCATCCAATTGCCCTTGTGTTATTCAGCTGGTGTAATGTCCTAACTGCACATCTGGGGAGTAACGCAGCACCTTCGCCCAAGGTCTCGCAGTCCAACACCAAGGATTAAAAAACAATCAAAAAAGGGAGAACACAAAGACGAAAACAGGGCTGACTCCGTCCCCATCCATGTCCCAGGCAGCTCTCATCCCACCCAACACCATGGAGATTTCTCAGGGCTGTGGCCAGCGCTATCAGGAACACGATTGAGTCAGATCAGACAAATTGCTTTTCTTTCCTTTGCATCATTCCCTCTACACTATAGCAAGCATCAGGGTGGAGAGCAAAAAATCCATCCAACTCATTGTGTGATTAAGCACAAAATAAATACCTGCGACCCTTCTCAGCTTAGATGCTTATTAAGAAAACTGTAAAAAGTGTAAACCCTACTTGCATGTGAAAACCAATGGTAAGTTGTAGCATGCAAGGAAATGAGTCAGTAGGAAATTAAACACAATTTACTATTTTCTCAACATAAAAGGCCACAGGCGGGATTAATCCTTTTGTGCATATCTAAAGGTGATGCTCAGATCACCTACACAAAGAGCTGGTTCTCCATTTGGCCATGTTATTGCAGCCCTTTTTAATGATTCATGGCAAAGAGCTTCAAAGAGCTCCAAGCTATGACAACAGTCCCAGATCCAACCTACTCATTCTCATCTCAGCAAAAAATCCTTCTTGGTGAATAATTTAAGTCTATGAAGAAAGCTGCCTTGAAACTATTCCCAAGAGAAGGAGCAGTGTCTAGAATTTAATCTCATCATGGAAATATAAATAAAAAAAGAAAATATCAAAAGAAAGGAGTGACTGCAACAACAATGCAAGCCTTATTTTGCAGAATTCATCCGTTGTGAAACTCCACAGAAGGGAACACAGCTGTTTTCCCTGAAATATGTTTCATGTTTCCAGAGACTCAAGATGAAATCAAAAGCTTTGACTTTCAACTTACGATAGACAAACGCATGCAAGGATGACACAACTACTGTTCAGGGCTATTGAGGGAAGAAAATGGTTATTTAGAGTTAAAGGTGAAAACACGGACTTGACCACAGCCTGTAGCACAGCCTCTGCTGACTAAGGACAGCACCACGGGAGCAGGCTTGCGACACCCTCCCAAAACCTGAGGCATTTCTCCCCTCACTTTGTATTCGCTTTGTTGCAAGGGCTGAGGGCTCGAGCGCTGCAGGAGGCTCACACCATCCCTCCCATAAAACACATTGCATCTGGTGCAGAACGCAAAACGGTTACAACACCAAAAAAAGGCATAAAAATAATGAAGTGTAGCACTTGGGGGGGCGGGGGGGGGGG